TGTCCCCCTGTCCACTGTTTATGCAGGGGGGAGTAACTGGGCTCTGATTATTGCCCAAATTGCACAAAAAAAAAAATAATTAAAAAAATAGAATTGGTTGCTTGGCAGAAGGAAAAAGAAATAAATAGGAAAAAAAAGATAAAGAAATAAAGGCAGGTAGAGAAGAAGGGTTGGGGATGATAGAAAAAAACATGATGCAGCAATTTGTCTAAGTAATGCTTCAACATGGAATGGATTATAATCAAAATAATAATAGTGATGATGATAACAAAAGTTCTTTTCAAAAACTGCAGTCAATGTACTTTCAAAGACTTCAAACAAAAGTCAAAACAAAGAACATGAAACAGAAAGGCAGACAGCAAATGATCTGTGCACATCTTAAGCCAGAATATCACACCTAACATTAGGAGTTTCCTGATAAGCAACTCCATAAAGAAAGAATATTTAGCTGACTTGGCTCAGGGAATGATGGGTAATAGAGCTTTTAATAGTAAGGCTTGAGCAGAAGCCACAGTAACAAAAATAAAAAGACAAGGCGAATGCATTTTAAGATTTTTTTTTTTTTTATTCTTCTTCTTTGAGAGAGAAGAGTTAATAACCAAAAAAGTGAGATGCAGAGACACGCAGTTAAATCAGTTTCTTCTGCTTCTGATTAAAGAAAATATTTCTTTCTGTGGTTAGTAGAAGATGCAAATAACAAAACAGATAAGTAGGAATGAAAGCCATCAGTTATTTGATAACAAATAATTGATCAATTAATTCTGCACTGCAAACCGAATGACAAAAACAAAAGAATACGGTTGAAAAACAAAGTTGTGAAAAGAAAAGTATATTCACACAAAGAAGACTCGATATTAAATTAACTGCAACTTTTTCCTTGACACTCTAGTTTACAACGTATGCATTTAGTCAAACACCATACAAAAGACAAGAACCTGGGGGAGGGGGGGGACATTATTTTGTTTTTAAACTTACACTATATTGTGTTTCTAAATAGTCACCCATTCAGTATTCACTAGGCAGCACAAAACTTTACTTTGATGATTAAAAAAAAGTGCTATATATTACGAGCAAGTTGCAGCCATTTCTCCAATGAATATGCTTTTGTGAGTCCAAAAGCACCAAAATGGAAATCCCACCTCCAATACTTAAAAAAAAAAAAAAAAAAAAAACATACACAATATTTAAATAATCTCTGTGAAGTTATTAACAAATTGACAGCTAATTATTTCTCTAATAATGACTCTCAAATGAGAGGCAATTTGGCTCTCAGGGGAAGAATTTCAAATCTAAGAGAAGGCATATCAGTCATGTGCAGAAGTTATAATTAGAATGGTAAAGGGGGGGGGGGAATTACTAGACAACATTTCAAAATGAGGGAAGGATTCAGGAACCTGGGATCTCCAAGGGAGCAATGTGACCTGAGACTGTAGACAAACTCTAGTTTTTATTTACCTGACCTAACATAGTTTAAGAGCTTACATAGATTCTTGTTAATTCTATAGTTCTCTAAGTGACACATATTTTATATATATATATATATATATATATATATATATATATATATATATATATATAAACAACAAGAAGAAAATATAAATTTAACATGCTTTGGTATTTATTTCATTTCATCAGATTGAAAAAAATTTTCCTAGTTGTTTCTTATTTAATCATTGTCAGTTTTAAACCATATTTCCAACACTTTACACAAACACACACACAATAATAATAATGATGATAATAATAATAATGGCTACTCATTTCTGAGAACACCCATCTGCCAGGGCAGCTAGCCATAACTGATTACAGCCACTTGCTCAACCCACAGTGTGGTTTATATGGCAACTATGCCGAGTTAAAGTTTCTGGAAGAAGTGCATAATCTAGCATAATCAATTTATTTTTTGAACAAGGCCAGTATGCTCAAACCCTCGGTCACGATGACTTGTGACTTTGTGTTAGCACAAACACCGACGGCTTCCAAATGGCTCCGTCTACCCAATTTCATTCACAAGGCTTGGGTTAACCCATGGTGTGGTTTTTTAGGCACTTTCCAAAGGTGCTGTGTGCTATAATTACCTCCCCAGGTCATTATAATCAAGAAGTCACCACCCTGACAAATTGACCATGGTGAGATTTGAACCCGGGTCCCATGACCAGAAAGCGAACATTCTAACCACTCAACCATGTGCTCATTCATCCATCCATACACTACAGTTCAAAAGTTTGAAGCCACACTCAGAATTAGCAATTAAAATAATTACCAGAGGTAGCCTCAAACATTTTAACTAGTGTACTATATATATATATATATATATATGCACAAAGTAGCTTAGCATGAAAAAAAAAGCAAACAAAAGCTCTAAAAGTTTACTCCTACATTTATGTCCTAATATGAAAGGTAAATGCATTCTTATTATTTTATCAAAAACATTATAATCCTGTTGCTACCCACACTATTTTTCCCAGGCTTGGGACTGGCCATTCTTTAAGCAGATCTCGTTATCAATAAAGGAAACATAACAGATTAAGTACATTCGATGTTGTAGTCTGTGGGCAGCAACAAAACATGGGTTTTCTTCTCTGTCATTTGAGAAACAGAAGAAAACTAAAAATATCCTTTTTATAAAATTATTTATTCCATTCCAACTGGTAAGCAGAGCCTTGTAAACAAAAAGCTATTCAATAATTAACTCATTGGGAAGAAGGAAAACAACTGATCCCCATTTTTATTTTACAAGCATTTCTGTATGCATATAAGCAAGAACCTTTAACAGATTTTCAACATATTTGTGCATGAAAGAAAAGGTGAGAGATTTAGATTGAAGACTCATTAAAAATTGTTTAATTTATTTAATAAAATTATTGATGTGATTATTATTCAAATAAACCATGAAACAAGTTGAAATTCTTGGGTTTTCAATTTCTACATGAAAATTGAAAGGATGAGGTTGCTTATCAACTACAATTCACAGGTTACCAAATATGACAAGCTCCTGAAGAAAACTTAGAGGGTATAATGCCTGAAATGCTGTGGCTATAACAACCAAGATGAGGATACCAGTTTCAATGAAATCAGTGAATAGTAATAATAATAATGATGATGATAATGATAATTCCTCATCCCAGAAA